GTTAGAACTTCGTATATTTCACAAGGTTTATTACACTGTTCACTTGTTCGCGATTATAATGATCGGGCGCGATACGTACAGTAGCGAGTTATCGGATGATTTTCGGGCAAGTCCTCTTCGATGCATCTCGCGTACAATATATATTAATTAATTAGGTTGGGAGAAGTGTGGTGATCTTGACCGGAGCACGTCTCGTGCTCCGCTTGTCAGTCTGTCTCGTCAGCTGTTTACTCACCTTCCGAGAACTTGGCCGTGACTTCCTTTTCCTTAGTCACGTCTCTTGCTTTATTTTATTAATAATCTTTTATTAGTTTCTTTTTTCTTAATTACTTTTCCTTGAGCTCTTTTCCTAATTTAATGTTTTGCTTTACTCTGCTCTTTCTTAATCTTTTCTGTGCTACTTTATTCTTTTATCTTTTAATATTGGGAAGTTGGTTGGGTTACGACATCTTGTTAAAATAATACAAGTTAGATGCTTCAAAAGAGAAATCGAAGATATCTGTCAAAATGGTGTTGTGAACAAGAAAGTTCAATCTTGAAACTAAATCCCTTTTTAGATGCATATGGAATTTTGAGGGTTGGCGGTCGATTGAAACATGCGAATTTACCCTACGATGCGAAATATCCTATTTTAATACCTGGACGTCATAGGTTTACTCATTTAGTTATAACGTACGAACACAAGCGACTATTGCACGCCAGGCCACAGATGACTTTATCATCAATTTGACAAACGTTTTGGTCCTACGCTGGGCATGGCGTCGAAATATGATAAACAAATGCATAACTTGCTTCCGTAATGCTCCAAGATTATCTATTACTTTAATAGGAAATTTGCCTGAAGCTCGAGTTAACGTCTTCGAAAGACCCTTTGAGAAGTGCGGTATTGATTACGCAGGTCCAATATACTATAAGGAAGGACAGCGTAAAAATTCGCGGTCCATTAAATGTTATTTAGCTATATTCGTATGTTTTGCGACCAAGGCTGTACATATAGAGTTAGTCGGCAATCTTACTACTGAAGCCTTTTTGAACGCGTTCAAGCGATTTATTTCTAGAAGGGGTCGACAATGACGTCTACTCAGATAATGGTCTGAACTTCATAAGTGCAAATCGTCAACTCAGTGGAATATATGATATTCTAAATGATGACAAGTCGAGACGAAAAATCATGGATGTAACATCGCATGAACGCATAAATTGGCATTTTATTCCACCACGTGCCCCGCATATGGGTGGGCTTTGGGAGGCCGCGGTAAAAGCCGCCAAGTTTCATATTAAGCGTATTATTAGCGAAGCTTCTTTACGATACGATGAATTTTTAACTTTGCTTGAATAAATAGAAGCCATTCTTAATTCAAGACCAATCATACCATTGTCATCCAACCCTAATGATCTTTCTGCTCTCACTCCTGGACATTTTTTGATAGGGTGTCCTATCACGTCGTACCCAGAACCAAATTTAGAACAAGCAAACGCGAATGGATTATCGATGTTGCAGCGCATTGAACAATTACGTCAGCACTTTTGGCGACGATGGACCAAAGAATATTTGCATAATTGTCAACAACGTAGTAAATGGAATATCATGGAATCTCCTGTTAACGTAGAACAACTTGTAATCGTAGAAAAGGATAATTTGCCACCATTAGTTTGGTCTTTGGGTCACATAGAAGAAATCTATCCAGGAGACGACAATGTTACACGAACAGTTTTGGTGTGAACTACTAAAGGTAGTTACAAGCGTCCTATTACAATTGTGTTTTGCCTATAGATTAATCTTACTTTGTTTCATTCATATTCACATAATGGATAAGTTTGCGTTTAATGGATAAGTTAGCGTTCAAATCAGTATTAGGTTAAGATTAATTATAAGACTTATCTGTGATTTTTCGTTCGTCTTTAATTTTTAATTTTGAAAGCATAAGCTTCCAAGGGGGGCGGTATGTGCACGCTTAATCGCATTGCGCGCGGATTACTATAGCAGCGTACGGCAGGTCTGTCGATTTTCGTTGTCAACGGCTGTTGTCGATTCGTGCGTTTCCGTGTGTGTCCGCTTGAGCTTACTCTCGTCGCTTCGAGTCGTCGAACAGACGCGGTCGGACACACATAACGTGTTCCGTTACGAAGTTTTCTTTGTATCGAAACGGCTCTGTTCCTTTTTTTAATAAAATAGCGTCAGCATACGCAAATAGTGTGAAGCTTATTCAAGCACCTACACACTACATAACAATATGAATCGCGCGCGTATTATTGAATTTGCGCGTTGATGGAAATTAACGCAACAAATTATATTTTTTATATATTGCTAAATAATTCTTAAATTATTTAACTTAGGCATACATGTCTTAGGGTTTTTTAAATGCAAAATTGAACAAATTGAGCATTTAGAATCTACTATAAAAAATATTTCTTTCCATTTTAAAGAACAAGGTTGATCATTATATGACTTTGAAAAATGACCGTAGTTAAAATTCATGATCACCAACTTTTTCTTTCTTCTATAAATTTTCTCTGAATTTTTGTCCTCTAACTTAGTTTTTGAGATATATTCGACTGGACTATTTAAAATGGGAGGTAAATATAGCGAATAGGAGACCCAGCGCCAATGACCTTGACCTTGACATATGTTATCAAGGACATAATTCTGAGTAACTTTTTCTTCTAATTTAATCGTCGCTCGTTGCTTAGGGATACTATGTATGTATATGTATACAGGGTATTCCGAAAGTGGAAGTTAATCTCTCGGGAGGTGATTGGGGACCTAAAAACAAGAGAAAAGGTTGGTATGAATATAGATCTGGAAATGAGTTGTTTTTGATCGCCATTTGTATGTTGAAATTTCAAATAGTTTTGCTTTCGAATTTTTTTGTTAAAACTGAGAGAAGAGATGGTTTTGTATTTATTAATTTAATTTAATTTATTTTTTTGTATTTATTTATTTATTGCTTCCTCATAGAGGAAGCTTTGTTTCCGTGACAAAATTTTTTTTCGAGTTTTCTATGCCAATGTATTTAGAATGTTCCAAAACGTCGAAAAATAATATTCCTAAAAAATGTCTGTATGTATGTATGTATGTGTGTATGTGTGTATGTATGTACGCAATATATTGTACAACCTCTAACTTCCGCAATTTTTGAGATATCGGGTTAAATTTTTTTACATGTATAGAGTATCATTTAAGGATGATTGGAATTGAATTTGGTGAGAATCAATGAAAAGGTTCATTTTTTATAAAATTTTTAATTTTTTGAGAAATGTCTGTATACATTGTAACTTTCGCAAATTTTGAGATATCAGGTTAAATTTTTTTACATGGATAAATTATTATTAAAGAATGGTTGCTACTAAATTTGGTGAGTATTGGTGAAAGGGTTTATTTTTTATAAAATTTAGAATTTTTTGAGAAATGTCTGTACACGCTGTAATGTTCGGAAAATTTGAGATGTCGGGTTAAATTTTTTTACACGGATAGAGTATCATTTAAGGATGGTTGGTATTGAATTTGGTGAGAATCGATGAAAAGGTTCATTTTTTATAAATTTTCGGATAATTTGAGATATCGGATTAAATTTTTTTACGTGAATAGAGTATTATTAAAGGATGGTTGGTACTGAATTTGGTGAGTATCGGTGGAAGGGTTCATTTTTTATAAAATTTTGAATTTTTTGAGAAATATCTGTACATGCTGTAACTTTTGCAAATTTTGAGATATCAGGTTAAATTTTTTTACATGGAAAAATTATTATTAAAGAATGGTTGCTACTAAATTTGGTGAGTATCGGTGAAAGGGTTTATTTTTTATAAAATTTTAAATTTTTTGAGAAATGTCTGTACAGGCTGTAACTTTCAGAAAATTTGAGATATCGGATTAAATTTTTTTACATGAATAGAGTATTATTAAAGCATGTTTGATGTTGAATTTAGTGAGGATCGGTGAAAGAAATCATTTTAATTTTTATTTCGCTCACAAAGCTTCCTCTATGAGGAAGCAAAAATTGAAAAATCCGCATGCTTAAAGCAGCTTAAGCATTGTAAAATAAAATGTTTAGTGAGGATCGGTGAAAGAATTCATTTTAATTTTTATTTCGCTCACAAAGCTTCCTCTATCAGGAAGCAAAAATTGAAGAATCCGCATGCTTAAAGCAGTTTAAGCTTTGTAAGATAAAATGATGAGGAAGCAATGTGCAAGTTTCTAATTTGCACAACTCTACTTGTTTTTTATTTTATTTGTATTTTTGTTATTATGGTTTTTTTTTATCCTGGGTAGTGCTAAAGCGACCTACAACTTTTATTTGACTTTAATTATGTTATGAAACTTATAAAAACCATCTCTTCTTTCAATTTTGACAAAAGAATTCGAAAGCAAAGCAATTTAAAATTTCAACATCAAAATGGCGATAACTTGAAAATAACGCATTTCCGGACCTATGTTCATACTAACTTTATTTCTCTAAAAAAGATAAAAAAGGCTCCAATATAATAAATATAATAATAAACAATTATTGCCCTTTGTTTATTATTTTATTTCTTGTTTTTGGGTCCCCAATCACGTCTCGAGCGATTAATCTCCACTTTTGAAACACCCTGCATATGTATATATAAAAAAATGCTGTTTCAAAATCGTTCACGCTATTGTATAAAGTGAAATTCTTTTAAATATCAATAAAATTAATATTAATACTAATAATTACTAATTTTTTTTTCAGTTAATCGCAAATAAAGACTTAAAGTTTAATTTACAAAATCATCTTTGGTCGCGCGCTACAAGTATACATTTTTTCTCTGTCTCTTTCAAAATAGAATTAAATTAATAATAAATATATAAAGCCGTGCATTTGTGCACTTATAAAAGCGCGCGTAAAAGTCGCTGAAAAATAACAATGTTTTATATACATATATATACATATGTAATAATATAACGATGGCTTTTATTATTTCAAAGTGTGCCACACGCTGACAAGTTTCCTTGGATTTTGAAGCACCGCGAACCAATGCAACCTTTCTGTTGAACCTCTCACTCCTTTTCCAAGTGCTACTTTACCGATGGAGGTATTGGAAAAGTTTCTGAATGAGCTGACAGAATCCTCGCTATCGCTCGCATGATCGACAATATTGGTGGGTGATCCTCCCGATAAAATCTAGAATTTTTGGAAAGCGAGATACAGCTCTTGTATTGTGATATAATACCCACAAAGAATATTCTTATTCTATACTATTCAAAACAGCGAATCATTTTAAAATTTATGAATTTTGTAGATTTTTAAGAGGCCGTACCTCTGCTTCGGGTGTCGGTGGATAATTTTTCTGAATGCATATTAAAGCGTGAAACCAACTTTGTATAAAGTGACTAGGGTGACATATCCCGCTCCATCAAATTGTCTGTTTTGAGAAGATCAAAATTAGGTGCAAAAATTCTAAAAATGTCATGATCTTCCACGGAAAAGACAGAAATGGGGCGAAGAATGTCACTACAAGACTTTGAGGCCAGGAACTTTTCCTATAAAGTGAAACCAGAAATATTGCTCTACCTCAAGGAACTCATTGTCAGTTATTTTGCATTTTGTAAAATTTTGAATAAATACTGCCGATATTCTCATTATTTGTAAGAGGAGATTGTTCGATCAGAGTTTGCTCATCACGTTCGTGATGTATGTATCAGTGTGAAGTGTATATGAGAGATAAACTGCTTGAGATAATTTGCCAAAGGGGCGTCAACACCTTATTTTGAATTAATAGCGTGCGCGCTATTAAAAAATCGACAAAATTTACAAGTTTTAAAGTGATTTCTTAATTGTTTTAATAAGTAATTTATGTAACACTTATACACATACACACATGCGTACACAAAATAATAAATATATTTCTTTACTTAAATTTGGAATAATTGTTGGAAACTTTTATATGTAATTTTCACCTTGTTGCAAAGCACGATTAGAAACTGGACCGTATCAAGTTGAGTGATTGGCAGATCAAACGTTAAAGTCTCGTTAAATTCAGGCTGCACTACAGCGTTCAAGCATTTAGTTTTCTTTTTTCTTATATTTTTACCTGTCTTTCCGTTCAACATTAATACTTTAATGTACGGATCTACAATAGACATCAATTTGTTTAAAATATTTTTTTTTGCGAAGCAAGATATACATATACAGGGTGTATCAGACCACCCGTGCCAGCCGAATATCTCGAAAACCGAGAACAGCAGACAAAAATATTTCAGACAAAAGTTGAATGATTTCAAGGGGGCCACATGATAAAAATATGAACTTGACCTTGAGTGACCTTTTCAAGGTGAGGTCAATGTGATCGATGTTTTCTTAAATGGAACCATTCATTTTTTATTGCATATTCTTGTAGCTTATCTCGAAAGCTTTTAAAACACTATAACAAAGTATTTTTTTATTAAGTACTTTTTGAGTTATTTTATATCTTAATCTGACATATTTTGATATAAAAATTAAAATATCTCGTAAAATATTTAGTTTTCGATAATCTTACCGTAATACTTTTATGTACAGGATAATGAGACAAATCAATTGCTGTAAAAAAATAAACAAATAATTGTTAAAAAAAATACATTGTAAATAAGTACATACTTTTCCTTAAAAACAATTATTTTCTTTATACCAATTGATTTGTCTCATTATTCTGTACATAAAAGTATTACGGTAAGATTATCGAGAACTAAATATTTTACGAGATATTTTAATTTTTATATCAAAATATGTCAGATTAAAATATAAAATAACTCAAAAAGTACTTAAT